CCTGAACTCCAGCAGCGAAGGAAGTTCCAGCCCTGATTCTGCCCTGTGTCTGGACCTGCTTAGTTACATTTGAGGATTAGATCCTCCATTCCCATCAGCCATCGGAATGCACATAGCAGAAGAATCTGTATTTGCGGGACACTGGTACTGAAGACATAACCCATTGTTCGTTCAACAAGCACTTAGCAGAATCCTCGCTGAGCAGGACACTGTTTTAGGCAAAGGGAAAGAAGCACAAAGTTTTGGCCCTTTGGAGCCAATATTTTTGTGGGATTGACAACACATGAGTGAGTAAATATGTTATGTACTCAGGTAATGATGGGCATGGGGAAGAAGCCCAAAGCAGGGTAAACGGATCATGTGTGCTCGCTTAGTGGCTGGTTTTAGTGGCGTTACGTGGCTCCATGTTCATCTCACGCCTTTTATCTGATGACAGCACCTTTTCCTTAGCAACATGGAAAAAACATTACAGAACCAAATACCTTTCACCAAGCTGTCCACGAAGGGTGGCAGGGAAATGTGCTACTACTATTTGAGGCAGAGGCTTTTGCCAAATTGTTCATCACAAGAGTAACAGTCGTAGCAGCCAGGTCATTTCAATGGTAAATCTAATCTGAGCCCACACCACTGAATGCAAGCTCTTTCTGAATTCCTTTCCCGGGTGCCAGATTCGCTCCTTATATGCTATGCTTAGATGGGCCACGCCCTCAACATATATTAGCTCAGTGAGTGAGATTTCTGGGAATCAGGAAAGGAAAAAGGCAATAGAGCAGATGGTTAGGAAGCTGGGCTCTGGAGCCAGACTGCCTTGCTCTCCACCTGGACCCTGAGAACCCCTAGCTGGGTGATCTTAGACAAGCTGTTTAACCTCTGAAACTGTTCACCTTGTCTCTAAAAGGGGGTGATAATAGTAAATAGCTAATATAATAGGATTAAATTAGATATATGTACAACACTCAGAACATATCTGGCCTATCACACCTAATAAGTGTTTACTGTTACCATTATAACTCCAGTATACAGATGGGGATATGGAGGCTCTGAGAGGTAAAATAACTTACCCAAGGTCATATAGGTAGTGGGTGGTGGATTCAAAATTTATACCTAGGTTTTTCCGACTCCGAACTCATGCTCTTCCTGCTAATGACTGCTTCCATCACTGATGCATAGGCATTAAAATAATGTTTCCTATAAGAGACCTAGATCCAGATAACAAGAGCCAAACAGGCAGAGGCATTCACAAGAAACCAGGGTCATGAATTATACTGGTGCGTGATCAGCAATGTTTTTCAAGTGCTGTTGTGCCCAAGGCCTCCCACCCAATCAACAGTGTTGACTCAGAGCAATGGGTTTTCCTCTTCTCTGATGATTCACTTCATTCCTTCATTTCTTATTTGTGTACCATTTACTGAGCTGTGGGGTGGGGCTTCTCAGAAGCAGATGAAATGATCCTGCTCTCAGGCTGGGGCAGGAAAGAGCAGAAGACGTATGCAAATGGCGAACATGGTCGGATACTCAGGAGAGTGGGCCCAGTCAGAAGGGGACTGGAATGGGAAGCAAGAGTGCAGTTGGTTTAGGTTGGGAATAGTCACAAAGGGCTTCTTTGCGGCCCTGGAGGAAGTAACTTGACGTTAATTAGCCAGGAGACCTGCTAAACAGTGATGTCAAATGGAAGGTCAGTGAGGGTGTCCTCAATAAAGTTACCTACAGAACATTAACCCAGTGCATGCTTTGGAAGTAAACTTTTTGGAATGGATTTTACATCGCAAAGTATTTTTTAATCCCTCAGGATTTTTATGGGAAGAAATATGAATTAGAAACCCACATGCTAAAGGACTTCTTTGGTTCTGTGTTAGTCAGGGTGCGGTCAGAAATTGAAAACCACACCAGTTATTTACACAGAGTAAATTTAATCTGAAGAATTGCTAACCAGATGTAGCTGTTAGCTAGGTAAATAAAAATGCAAAAAGAGAACTCTACAGCATCATGAGGTAGGCAACTGCAGGAAGCAGCTCCCGCCGCTATGTGGGAACAAGAAAAGAAGTTAGAATTACTAAAACGTTAGAAGCTTGGAGAAGGAGCCCCTAGGGCTGGGACCCAGAGCTTGAGGAGGGGTGCTGGCCCATGCTGTAGTCTCTTTGTGGGGCACAAGGAGGCCAATTCCGAAGGGCTGGAGAAATTTCAAGCTGGATTCAGCTGCTACTTCAGTAGGGTGAAGAGTTGTTGGAGCTCTGCTCACAGGAACAGGAAGCAGACAAGAAGCCAACAGCAGCAGACAGGAAGAGGCAAGTCCCTTCCTCCTCCAGGCTTTCAGTTTCTTTCTAGCACTCCCTTTGGCAGAGCCTAACATGGGGCCAGTTGGCAGTACAAATATGAATCCAACACAGGGATGCCTGTGGCATCTTCATCCCCGTCTTCAGCCTGAGAGGGAATCCAGGAAGCACAATAGGTGTGTGATACCAGAAGACCATGCAGGTTTCAAGAGAGCCCTGAATTAGAAATGATTCTTAAGGGAGCGGACAGGAAAGACTTTGTAGATAATTCTTAAGCTGAGCCTTCAAAGGTGAGCTTTGTGGCCCAAGTAGACCTGGTCACAAAGAGAACATTCCACACAAGGAAGCCTGGGCAAAGATGTAGAAGCAGGAAGGAGAGGTGTGTGTTCAGAGATTGTGAAAATACTTCATCCTGGCTGGATAAGAAATGAGGGTGTGGTAAAGGAGAAGGTTCATGAGGTAGATCTTTAAGACTTGTCTCTGCCAGCTGAATTGTTTGAACTCTGCCCTGGAAGCAGGGAAAGATTTAAATTAGGAGAGTCACAAGAACAGAATTTCTTTTGAGTGATGACTCCTCATTCAGTATGGGGAATAGGTTGTAGAAGAGCAAAGGAGACCAGTTAGGATACTTGTAACATTCTAGTTGCATAATGGTGTGAACCTGATCAGAGGCAGTAGCAATAGGAAGGGGATGCAAGGGACAGACAGGAAAACTACTAAGAGAGTAGTAGTGAAACGAGTGGGAATTGCAGTGAGAAAAAAAAAAAAAAAGAGGAGTCTGGGTAATTGGCTTAGGTCACTGGATAGGATAAATGGTAGGGCCACTCTCTAGGATGGGAGGTAGCAGAGGTTGGAAGGAAATAAATAGGATAAGAGCATGTCTTACGCTTTGTACACGTGGCTTGAGCATTTGAAGTGATGAAATTATTACCTTAAAAGGCAGTTGAGTTGACGTTGAGCTCATGTTTAACAGGGCTCTGCAGTCCACATGACATCACTACCGCCTTCCAAAGAGGTGTTGCTCATTAAGAATATGGAAACCATTCAGCAATTCCAGGAAAGAGCTCCAGGATCATTGACACTTACAGCAGATGTAGTCATCATTTTCCATATTATCATTTTTTCCCTTCCATCCACATGATGGCATTGAGGCCTATGTTGGTAATATGGCAGATGATGCAGAAATCGACATAAATGGATTTGTCCCAGTGCTCAATGACTAGTTTCTTAATTTAACTCTTGGCCTGAAATTTCTTCCTAAGCACATCTCCAGAAAACTTAAAAAAAAATTTCATCTTGTGCCTGAAGTGGTTGCTGATCTCACATGAGAACGTCACTATTATTCTGAAGTTCTGGAGGACTGCTGTTGCGTTTTAGTTTGCTAAGGACTGTCATGATTGGAGCCAATGGTTCCTTTCTTCATATCTTCTACATTGAGAAAGTAATTGTACACAAAGAAGTCATAGAAAGCCAGCACTACAATGGAAATGTTGTAGTGAGGGATATCTAGAAGGCCTCCTTGGCACTTGGTCTTATTCATCTTCCTTTACATACAACACCGTTGCTTAAAAAGGAGAGATGAGGGAATAATTTGTGGGCATGCAAGGGGTCCATGGATTTCCCAGAATCCGTCTTTTACTTCTTACCCCTTTGACTCCCCTTTACACATTTTCACCCACCCAACCATTTAGCACTACTCTCTCTGCAAAGCCCAGCTCAAAATCACCTCTTTCTCCGCAACTACCCAAGCTCACTGTAATCCTCTGAGCAGCAGTATCAGCGCTGTACCGCCCTCAGCCCTGTCTCATAGTATCAGGCGTGCTATCCCACCTCTCTTGTGCATCTGTCTTCCTAAATAGAGTGTAAATCTCAGGAGAGCAGAGACGCTCTCATTTACCTCTTGATGTACTTGGTACATAAATGACTTTGATGATAGCCTTGACCCATGTTCTCCTGGGCTAAGCCCCAGAAGTCACTGGATATGTACTTGGAGGCTAATCCCTGACCTTTCTGTTGTTTATACTCATGTGTCTGAGTAGCCCTAGGGATCTGGCCACAGGACACAGGCATTAAGGAAGCTGCTCCCTTTCTGTAATCGCCCCCGGTTCTTCTCATTTATTCCTCCCCAGAGGTGAGCCACTCTTTTTTAACTTGCACCATATTTATTAACTCTCTGTCTCCTGGTAACATACAAACACAGTCTTGATGAATGAGATACACTATTGCTCTCAGAAGAAAATCAGCTTCTATAAAAGTTAATGTGTTTAGTTCATAAAGAAAAAAAAATCTTCCTACACACAGTGGTTGCTTGGAAATCGGTGTAACCACTTTATGACCTCATTTACTAACCAGAATGATGCCTTGTTTGATCTCTGAAATTTGTTTAGGATTCTCAGGAAAGGGCTCCTGGGTGCTACTCACTGACAATTTATACACTGGCCTGGCACACAACCCTGGAAATAAATACTAAGGAAATGGCCGCTTTTATTTCTTTTGGCTATAATTTCTTCTCTCTGCTAGTACCTGAGTATTTCTCAAATAGTTTATATTAGCAGACTTTCTGAGCATCTCAATAAGACTGTGTTGGTTTATTATCTCCACATAGGAAAAGAGAGTTATTTACCAATAGTGTAAAGAAACTATTTGGGGATATAGTGGTTCCTTAGAAAAGTCATTATCAGATCGGAATTCTAATATTACACTATTGAAGATTATTTTCCCTTTTAGGTAGCTCTTTTCTCTGAAAAATCAGAAGAGAAGTGTACCATTTCTCCCCTCGTGTGAGCTGCTAGCTGTCAGAAACAGAACAAATTTGAAAGAACAGCTGAGAAAATATGAAGAAACCTGTTTGCTGATCACTGTTCCTACATGCTCAGGTATTTTATCTCTGTCACAGATGGTGAATGGGAGAGATATACTCCATATAATTTTGTACTTCAAGTTCAGCTCCTCCTTACCTCTCATGGCCACAACTGCACTACCACCAACCACCACCACCACCACCACCACCACCACCACCACCATCTCCACCGCCACCTCCACCAGTCTGCTAACACAAACATGTATATTTGCTTCTAACTTTGGTTTTTAGCAAGAATATGTGTTGGGTGAAATGAGATTTGTTTTCTTCATCCCTCTGTCTATGTGTCAGAGGATGTGATACAATATGATTTTCTAATAAGGGGTAATTCTGTACTATTAGGTAGGCTAGTGATGCTTTCTGGGCTACGACAACACCATTATCAATTTGTAGCTATTTAATGATGAAGTCAAATTTGTTAAGTACCGGGTCATTTAAGTTTCAGAGGGGGTTGATCCAGTGTTTCAGTGTTATCCTCAAGGATCTGATTTTTCTGCCTTCCATGGCTAAGACTGATTCCTTCATGGTGTCAACATGGCTGTAGCATTTCCAAGCTTCACAACCATGGAGTATACCATCCAGGAGAGAGTACTTGTTTCTCCAGGACCACAAGGCCATCCCTGAACCCCTGACTGTGGCCAAGGTGATGGGTTGTGCTGATGGGCTAAGCAAATGAGGGTCCATCCTTAGAGCTGTGGGTCAGATTATCTTCTCCAGAGGTATTTTACCGGTCCCTAGCACCCATCTCATTTTTATCATACCCTGTCACCCAGGCCAGATCTGAGCAGACACCGCCTGGTTACTTGAGCACTTCCTAGCTGAGTTCAGAGATGTCTCTTCTCCATTTGGTCTCTATTAACGTAGGTGATGCTCACACTGCTCTCCTACTTTTCATCTTTACTTTGTCTTTTTGTCCCGGGATTCTGTTTATGTTCCGATTCTTTGCAGATTAGGCCTTTTCTCCCTTCCTGGCAGTATTATTCCTGTCTCCTTTTTTAAAATGAGTTTTCTCCAACCACTTGCTAATTCCACCTTCCCCAGTTCTCCCAAAACACACTCTTCCATCCCTACTCACCATCAAGATGTAATGCACAAGTGAAATCTCATGCCAGGACACTGACAAATGGCACCAAGGATAGATGCTCCCTATATTAGAAGTGGATGTAAACTACTTGTGTTTACACTTCAAAAATGGCTGTTAGGTTGCTTCTGGTTCATTACCTTACCCCTAAAATTTGACCAGCACTACCTCAACAATGCCTTTCAACAAGTAAACAAATTAACAAAAACCCAAATGCTTGAGACTTGAATTCAGGAACTTGAACCAGAAACACAAACCTCAGAGTGAAATCTAGTCAATAAGAATGGAATGTGACTCAGGGCATGTAAATTATCTTGGTATTCAAATAGCCCTCAGGAGTTGAGATGTTTATCTGAGTCTCAAAATTAGAAATCTCCCTCTCAGGGTTTTAGACTCAGACTCCTCCAGGATTTGGTGATGTGGTGTTCAAATCTCTGTGGTAATTGTGAAACAGATTTTGGACATTTTTCAAAACCTATTGGTATCATCATCATCATCATCATCATCACCTAGGAAGTGCTGTATCCACATGTTCCTCTGGTTTTGTGTTACTACAATCAGTGAATTTTTCCCTAAGAACTCTTCCCCATTGGTCCATAAGCAGTTCTCTGAAAAATCTATTTTAGAGACATAGTTAGAAATGACAGGAGTCAAAGAACTCGTCAGAAAGAACAGATGGTTACTTTCTGTGAGAAACAAATGCTTTCTTAAAAAACATCTTCTATTCAAAGCTTTAACCAAGAGAGCCTATTCCAACCCCTTGCTGTTGTTGAGATCTGTCTGTGGGTTCCTTATTAACATTAATATAAAAGATTTGGATTTATTGTGAAATATCTTTATTAGGCCATTAAGATACAATGCTATCAAACAGGGGATTGAACGAATACATGAATGGACAGACAGATGGATAGGTATGCCATACAGCAAATCCCTAAAATATTGATGGTAGAATCTAGGTAGTCATGTGTTTATGGATGTTCACTGTCTAATTATTTTCATTTTTTATATGCTTAAAGTCGATTTCCTAACCACGTTGACTATTGACCCAAGGTGAGATTAAAACTATGCTTTTTTTTTTTTTCTGAGTCCCGAAGGGCTGAAAAGGGGACCAGGGAAAGAACAGGCTTGAGCCCTGGATGATGTCCAGATCAGTGGTTGCAGAACACTCCTCTAATTGTTATGTCACCACAAATTTAATGCTCACAATATGCCAGTGTCTGTACAGTTTTATTTTGGGCATGAAATAATAATTTAATTATGACAGGCAATTAAAAATGGTGACTACTATATTTGTGTCTCCTTAAGAACTGTGCCAATTTTTTTATTCATTCTGGCAGTGTGTGTGTGTGTGTGTGTGTGTGTGTGTGCGTGTGTGTGTGTTAAAGAGAGAGTTTGGAGTGGGAGAGGGAAGAGGGGGCAACGGAGGAATTGAAGAAATTAGTTGCACAATCTTCTGCCCCACTGAAGGGAGATGAACAGAAAAGAGTTTAAAATCTCTTCTAGGATGCATATACTATATAAATATTTAGCTGAAGTGGCAAACCCTATTTTCTTAAACAATACAAGGTTTAAGGGTTTTTTGTTTTTAATTTTAATTTTTATCAAAACAATAATTGTACTGGGTACAAATCAAATAATGCAGAAGAACTCAGGAACACTGATATTTTCCCAGCCAGCTCTTGATTTATTTTTATCTCTTTTCATTGTCCCTGTATTTAATTCTTTGGCTAGTTGTTTCCACAAGTACAGTTATTATAATTCTAACTCTGTATCATAATTATAATTTATAGTCATTATCAATTAACTCATGAGAAATGAACATTTATTTCACATTAACCTGTTCTTTCCCATCCTCTTTCCAATATTTAGTATTTTTATTATTTTAATGCTTCCATTAGTAAGTTACTTCTGTGATATTAAATAATATGTGTAAATTATTTGTTTCCACCAACTTTGTATCATTCCAATTTGGAAGATGGCCTTACCCTTCCTCTACATATCACCCCATCCCCACATTCTGTCTGTCAGCTATGTATTATTTTACCTTGTCAGATATTTATTTTTTTTTAATATATTTTATTGAGTTTTTACAGAGAGGAAAGGAGAGAGATAGAGAGTTAGAAACATCGATGAGAGAGAAACATCGATCAGCTGCCTCCTGCATACTCCCCACTGGGGATGTGCCTGCAACCAAGGTACATGCCCTTGACCGGAATCGAACCTGGGACATTTCAGTCCGTAGGCCGACGCTCTATCCACTGAGCCAAACCGGTTTCGGCTTGTCAGATATTTATTAACAATTACAACTTGTTCTGAAATTTCACCTATATGCCTGCTTTGTCTGTGGATTGACTCTGAAATATAAAAATGAGTAAATAGTGTCTACATTTGTATAACAATGTAAATATAGTTTACTGCTTGGCCAAGTAGTACATTAGGTTACTTTTCACTTTCTATGGGTTCAATACTAGGTTTCTTGAACTACTTTAAAGAGACTGTTCCCAGCATCAAAGTCAAATAGACTTTCCTTTTTTCCACTTTGTCATTTGCCTAAATTGACATCACATTTGGATTTGCTTCTTATTGCAACCCATTATTCTTTTCTCTTCTCTTCTTTTCTTTTCTTTATTTTTTAGAGACAAACAGTTTATTTGGTTATAAGGAGTATAAACAGAATTCTTAATTCCTTTTTTCTCTTTTCTGGTGATAGTCAAATGGACAGTTTATACAAGTGTTATCAATGGGGAGTCCTCTGTGTCCCCACCTGCTGCTGGTGAAAGTGGGATTCTTGGGGTGCTACGGGAATAACAATTTCCCAAGGTCCCCATGGGAGGATGAGGTATCCTAGGAAGCTTTATTTCTGTGGAATTAAACCCCAGAGTCTCCAAGGTCCCATCTCCCTCTATACCAACATGGAAGAAGTCCCATTTTGTCGCATCAGGGCTAAGATTAAAGCCAGTGCCCAGAGTTTCCACTCTATATTTGCACAGCCCAGCCCAGCATTAGGCTAGGTTAGCTGGTGTCCCCAGCTGCAGTCCATGTGGCTTCTAGGGCCTTTTGGCTATGGAAGGAGGATGGGCAGGTTCAAGGAAGCAGGAGTGAAGCAAGAGGAACAAGAGAAGGATTCCCTTGCAGTCCTTGATCTTTTGCAGAAATGCAAAGATGCGTGAGTTATGTGACTTGCAATGATTTTCTAGAAGGAGGTGCCAGCTATGTGCTTTCCGATGCATCAGTAGTTGCTACATTTTCCTGCTAGTTTTCGGGTTTAATGGCAGAAAACAAGAGTACTTCCTTGATGCTATTGGAGTCTGAGAAACATGGTGATTAGGCCCATTAATGTTCATGCCCCAGGTATAGTCCAGGGCACTGCAGAAGTTTTCATCTATGAACATGGCCTCATTATTACCAGTGGCCTTGGCCTTGGCCTATTCTTCAGAAAGCTGCCACTGCCACATAGGGTGATGCAGCTTAGGGTAGGCATTGCATATGTCATTCTCCCTGACAAACAACTCATAGTGCTTACTAGAGCCTCTTTAGAGCAGTGGTATTTGGCCAAAGGGTTCATTATCTGTGAGATTGGTGCATGTCACTTCCAGAAGCTCCCCAACAAGTTTATTAAGGAACCTGGCTGGGGCCTGAGTGGAGAGCAGTCAAGAGCTTTTCCATGAAGTTAGTTTCTGGCAGCTTCTTCCCTAGGGCTTTCTGAAACTCCTGTCCATTTCTGATTCTATGGAGAATGGGGTGAAGTCAATCTCATAGGCATGGTCTTCCGGGCCATCTGGATGGTAAGTGACCTTGTAACTGCCTGTAATGTGCTTTATCGTCTCTGAGATCATCTTCATGATTTCCATGAGCTCCTCATAGACTGTGTGGACCATGTAGAGCTCACAGGGGGTGAACTCAGGATCATGAGTCAAATCAGTTCCTTCATGACG